GGAAAGGGAAAGGAGAGGGAAAGGGAAAGGAGAGGGAAAGGGAAAGGAGAGGGAAAGGGAAAGGAGACGGAAAGGGAAAGGAGACGGAAAGGGAAAGGAGACGGAAAGGGAAAGGAGACGGAAAGGGAAAGGGCAGGCAGGGCTCACCCAGGCGAAGGCGACGCAGGTGGGGTAGGTGGGGGCGGCGGGGGGCACGGCCGCCCGGTAGCGCAGCAGCATGACCAGGCTGGCCAGGCCGTTGAGGAAGGAGGCGAAGGCAGAGGCCGGCTCCTGGAAAAACAGGAACCGGGAGAAGGGCCACTGGGAGGGGACGGGGGGGTCAGCGGGCACGGGGGGACCCCCCCCAGGACCCCCGCTCACCTTTCCATGGAACTGGGGCACGCGGTGGCCGCCCTGCTGGTACAGCCGCACCGTCAGCCACATGCACTCGTACTTGCACTCATCCCGGCACGTCCAGCCTGCGGGACACACCAGTGCCTCCCAGTATGCACCAGTGACCAACGGGAGCGCCAGTGCCCACCTCAGGGCAAGGGGAGTGCGTGGGGTTCACCCCGTGGCTACGGGGACATCCCCCCTAGGCCTCGCTGAACAATCTGGGAGGACACCCAGCTGTCCCCACGGTGAGCAGCAGCACGGCCCAGCAGCTCCCAGTATGGCCCAGTGCCCCTCCAGATAGTTCAGGGATGCCCAAACTGGTCCAACACCTGCCCCAGCAAAGTCCAGTGCCGCCATAGTCTGGCTCAGTGCCTCCCCAGTATGGCCCAGTGACCCCACTTTATAGCCCAGCACCTCCCAGTATGGACCAACATGTGCCCAGTAGCCACCAGCACGACCCAGTGACAACCAGCATAGGCCAAGCGACCCTTAACACAGCCCCAGCACAACCCAGTGACCCCCAGCATAGAAGAGCGGGGTCCAGTGACCCCCCAGTATCAGCCAGGCCTTCCCAGTCCAGCCCAAGAGCTTCAGACCAGCCCAGGGCTCCCCAGCACCTCCCAGTTCGGCCCCAGTGCCCCCCAGTGCTCCCCAGTGCCCCCAGCCCGGCGGGGGCGTGGCTCCAAAGGGGGCGTGGCCTCAGCGGCATTGCGGCCCAAAGGGGGCGTGGCCTTGGGATCCGCCAGCCAATGGGCGCGGGGGGCGGTACCTGTCAGGCCCATGTAGAGCGGCTGCCGGGCCCGGAAGTGCCGCAGTGCCGCCCCCGAGCAGTTCTGCCGCTCGCAGCGGCTCAGGCACTCCCGGTACAGCGGTTCCCGGTCCCCCTGCGAGCCCCGGGCCGGGCCCGGCGCCGCCGCCGCCATGACAAGCAGCAGCAGCGCGGCCCGCGCCGCCATCGCCGCCCGGCCCGGCCGCTTCCGGCCCGCCCCGGAGATGGGGCCGGCGCGGGGCACTATGGGATATACCGCCCCCCGCCGGCCGCGGGGGGTGATGGGATATATCCCCCCACGGGGGCTCATGGGATATATCCCCCCGTTACCCGCCGCAGAGGCTCATGGGATATATCCCCCCATGGGGCCCGCGGATCCCGGTGTCCTGCGGGGACCCTCCGGTGTCCTGTCCTGCGGGACCTGAGGGAACTGAGTGGTCCCGGCCGTGCGGGACCCCGGCAGTGGCCGTGGGATGAGGTTCCGGTGGCGGCCTGGCCTCAGGTGACAGCGATGTGCTGGATCCGCATTCCTGCCCCCGTGGCAGGCGGGACCCCGACACCGAGAGTCCCCGTCTTTGGGGGCTCCTCCCTCGTGGCAGCCTCGGTGACACACGTGGAAGCACAGCACGGGCCGGGGTGACACAAGGGTACACGGGGGGCAGGTCCCGGTTCCTCGTCCCGGCTGCTCCCGGCGCAGTGTCTGGCTCTGCCCGGCCGGGGGTTCGGGTGAGGTTCCCATCTGGGGGAGTCCCCACCTCTGGGGGACCCCACGTCCCAAATCCCTCTGTGTGCCCAGGGCAGCAGGTGAAGGTGGAACAGGTGGGGGACAGGTGCCAGCTCTTGGTCACCTCATCAAGGACCCGTTAGATGCTGCTGGACTGTCCCTGTCGCCCAGGACTGTCCCCGACCCCCTGCAGCATCCCTGGGTGCCAGGGCTGGCCCCCCATCCCCTGGGGCTGCCCCCCAGACCCACGAGTGGTATTTCTGTCCCCCCTCCCCACGTGGGTGGCAGTGACAACCCCAGGGAGGCAGGTGAGGGGACAGGGATGGAGGACGTGTCCTCCTCGCACCCCGAGTTCGCAGCAGGACCCCAGGACAGCTCCGGGGCTGGGGAGTCCCTGGTGCCCCCCACGGAACGGGAACGGGGGACTCCGGATGGGACACTAGTCCGCGGTGCTGTGGGGGGATGGACTCCGGGTCGAGGGGTTCCTGGTGCTCCGAGGGGGTGGAAAGTGGGATCAGAGCCGGGGGGTCCCCGGTGCTCCCGGGTAATGGCCGGGGGGGCCTGGGGCGGGGGGCACCCGCTGCTCCGGGGGATGGGAAGGGGGAACGGGGAGTCCCCGGTGCTCCCGGGGGATGGACGGCGGTGATTCCCGGTGCTACGGAGGACGGGACAGTCCGGGCGGGAGGTGCCCGGTGCTCGGAGGGTTGGGCGGGGGGGTCTGCCCTGGTCCGGGCCGGCGGGAGCGCGCGGGGGCGGCGGGAGCGCGCGGCGCGCCCTCGCCCGGGGCCGGGACCGGGATCGGGATCGCGAGGCGGAGCCCGGGAGCGGCGGGAGGCGGCGGCTCCAGCTCCGCAAACTTTCCCGGAGCGGCGGCGGGGCCATGGGCCGCGGCCCGCGCTGAGCACCATGATCGCGGCCGGGGGCTGCCTCGGAGCCGGGCTGCTGCTGCTGCTGGCCGCCCTCTGCCCCCGCTCCGCCGCTGAAGGTGGGTCCCACCGGGGAGCTCCGGGGGGCACGGGGGACACCGGGAATCGGGAGGAGCCCGGGCCGCGGGAGCGTCCCCCGCGCCGCGACTTCGAGCAAAGTTTTGCACGGGACCGACAGGGACCGGGGGGGCACCGAGAGGGAGAACCGGGAAAGGGAGGGGGGCACACGGGGGGCGTGACCGAGAGGGCACCGGGGGGACATCGGGGGTGGGACCGAGTGGAAAACCGGGAGGGGACCGTGGGGGGAACCGAGGGGGCAGCGGGAGGGGACCGAGGAGGCCCCCAGTTGCGAACGGGGGGGGCACCGGGGGTGGGACCGGGCAGCTCTGGGAGTGGGTCGGGAGGACACCGGGCCGCGAGGTCTGGTGTGCCCGGGGGCTGCACTGTTGGAAGTGACGGGATCGCCTCCCCCGGTCATTCCCCAGTCCCCCCGCTGCCCCCTCGGCGCCCCCGGTTCTCCATGCCGCGGGCAGCGCGTCCTCGGTGTCCCCTCGCCGCGAGTCCCCGCCAGGACTGGGGACCGAACTGGTGTGTACTGGGAGGCGCTGGAGCCAAGGGGAGGCCCTACCCGCTGCGCCTCGGCCCCCCCCGAGCGGAACGACCCCCGGTGCCGCTTTCCCGGGGGGAATTTAGGAATTTAGGCTCCGGTAAGCCCGGAGCGGGGACCCCCCCTGCTGCAGCCGGTCCCAGGGCTCCGGTACCGCCGGGAGAAGCGGGATCGGGGGCCCCCAACTTGTGGGGGTTCCCTTGCCGTGGACATCGGGAGGCTTCGGGGTGCGGGGCAGGCGCGGTGCCCCACGGAGCGGCTGGGTGGGCGGCTGGGTGCGTCCCCGTCGCTCCCATCCACATTCTCGACGTGCCGCACCCAGCCCAGCCCCGGGGGGAGCGGGGAGCCCGGCCCGACAGCCCCCGGGCCTCGGCCAGGCACCGCGGCGGGGCTGGCAGGAACGTGGCCAGCAGGGGATGGAGCTGGTGGCCCCAAAGTGGGCACCAGCAGCCCCAAAAGTTGGACCCAGCTGCCTCCCTGTTGCGGGGGCAGCTCCGGCACCGGGTGTTTGGAAAGTGAATGCCCGGTGGGACCGAGCCGGTGTGAGGTGCTGGGACAGGGACGGGGGCCACACCGGGTGCCTCCACTGCTGGCACCCCACAGCTCGCTCTGTTCGGAGGGTCAGTGTGAGGCGAGCTCCTGGTTGGGGACACGGCGGTGTCTCCCCGGGGCCGGATTCGTGTCCGGCAGCCCCGGCTCAGGGCAGCCCCGCGGGCACGTGGCCGACGGGCTTTGCCGGACACCCGCGGGCAGCCGAGGTGCTTCACGGTGGAGTGAGGCCGGCAGGATGGATCGGACCCTTCCCGGTGCCCAGCCACGGACCTGGGCGAGCAGACAAGGCCAAATCCTAGGGCACGGAGCCGGGATCCCACCAGGACCTGGCGCTGGCGCTCACTTGTCCCACCTGCCCTTTGGCCCGGGGAAGCCCCAGCTCCCCGTGCTTGTGCCACTGCAGGTGTGGGCAGAGACCTTGAGCTTTGGCCGCCTCACACAGCGGCACGGTTCCCCCTGTTGCACAGCCGGTCGGATGGGAAAGAGCTGAACCCCAAATTCGGGGGGGCTCCCTCCTTCCTGGCCGTATGTTTCCTGGCTCAGAGGCCTCGGAGCAGGCGGGGGAGGCGAGTGCCAGCCGGGTCCCCTGGACGCAGCTGCCCAGCACCGGGGGCTGTCACTCAGCCCCAGAGCAGCCGGGGACCGGCACACCGAACCCCCGGCTGGCCCCCGTGTGCCCCCCTGCCCCGTGCTGGGATGGCAGCGCCTCAGGGCTGGTGGCTCTGGGAGTGACGCTGTGGTGGCGGCAGGGTCACCGCCGGGCTCGGTGTCGGAGCGGGGCTGGGGTCCGGCGCGGGGGCTCTCCCGGGCTCGGTGTTGGGGTGCCGGGGGCCGCGGGCGCGCCGGGGCTGGGCCGTGCCCGCCAGCCCTGCGTCACCACTGCTCCCCAAACACGCCCGACCTGAAAAGGCGGTTCCAGCCGGGAGCGGGCGGCCGGGGCCCTGTGCCACCCGCGCCCGTGACTCACTCGCCCGGGGCCGGGCACCCAGGGCGGGCTCCCGCGCCCCCCACCCCGCCCGGATGCCGCGGGGATGCTCGCCCGGCCAGCAGCCCCTCGCAATGGGGCCGGCCGGGCCCCGCAGCCGTCGCCGCTCAACAATCGGGTCTTGTCTCGTCGCGGCCGCCCCGGCGGCGTGGGCAGCGCATTCCTGCCCGCGGCCCCCGCTCCGGCCCCGCGGCTCTGGGGGTCCCATCCCAGCCCCCAGCAGTCCCCGGCCCCCGCCGCGGGCACGGGACGACAGCGGTCCCCGTTGTCCCTCGAGCGGGGCCCGGTGCCAGAGCCGGGAGCAGCTTTGCCGCGTGCCGGGGTGGGAGCCGGGGGAGCCACGATCCAGGAAACCCATCGGAAGCTGTTGGGAGCAGCCCCGGAGATAAACGGCGGCCGCCGCATCCGCGGCGTTTCCTGCGGGGGCCGCAGCTCCACGTCCCGCGGGGGAGAGGAGGGGTCGGGGACCCGCTGAGACCCCGCTGTCCCCACAGTCTGCACCGGCACCGACATGAAGCTGCTGCGTCCCTCCAGCCCCGAGAGCCACTACGAGACCCTGCGGCACCTCTACCAGGGCTGCCAGGTGGTCCAGGGCAACCTGGAACTCACCTACCTGCCCGCTGACGCCGACACCGCCTTCCTCAAGGTGCGCAGCGGGAAAATGCCCCGAGGAAGGGGGGGAAGGACGGGGGTCCGGCCAGCCCCTCACCCGTGTCCCCCCCATCCCAGGACATCAAGGAGGTGCAGGGGTACGTGCTGATCGCGGAAAACCAAGTGAGCGGGCTGGAGCTGCAGAGCCTGCGCATCATCCGCGGCACGCAGCTCTTCCAGGACCGCTATGCCCTGGCCGTGGTGGGCAACGCCGGCCCCGCCGGGGCACCGGGGCTGCGCCAGCTCGGCATGAGGCACCTCACAGGTGGGGGAACCCCCGGCTGGGGCTGGCACGGCGTGTTTGGGGATGGGGGTTGCTGCTCCTGCAGTTGGGAGCTGCCAGCTCTGGGCTGGGCTGGGTGGTTCCATGGGGTGGCAGGTCCCTGTCCAGGTCTGGGTGTCCCCGTGGTGGGTCCCCACCCAGGACGGGGTGCTCCCATGGAGTGGCAGGTCCCTGCCAAGGACTGGGAGTCCCCACGGGGCTGCAGGACTCCCCTGTGCCCATGCTGAGCCCCCCTACCCGTCCCCCCACAGAGATCCTGAAGGGAGGGGTGCGCATCGAGAGGAACCCCGAGCTCTGCTTCCAGGAGACAATCCTCTGGAGTGACATCTTCCACCGGCACAACGAGTTCCGTGCCGAGATCCAGGTGGACACCACCCGCACCCGCAGCTGTGAGTGCCCCAGGGAGGGGTCTGGGGGTTCCAGCCCCCCCCCGGCACCCCCTGCTCACGTTTCCCCCTG